CTCTTCCTCCCTCCCTCCTAATTACCAAAGAAATAATGCTGCCAATTTTCTAAAACTTTCAAATGTGGGTTTACAAATTGATTTTTAAAAAATAAAAAGGAACTCACAGCTGAAATCTGAGCAAACTTTTGGCCAGAATTCAAGATGTGTCGTAGTTCATAAGAAATATAGATAATTTTCTCCACATTCTGCAGGATATAATCATTTGTTTATCAAGAATCATGATCAGCCAGGCATGGTGGCTAAAGCCTGTAATCCTAGCACTCTGGGAGGCCAAGGCAGGAGGATTGTTTGAGGTCAGGAGTTCAAGACCAGCCTGAGCAAGAATGAGACCCCATCTCTACTAAAAATAGAAAAAATTAGCTAGGTGTGGTGGCCCCTGAGTAGCCTTAGCTACTCAGGAGGCTGAGGCAGGAGGATCACTTTAGCCCAGAAATTTGAGGTTGCTGTGAAGTAGGCTGATGCCATGATACTCTAGCTCGGGCAACAGAGCCAGACTCTGTCTCAAAGGAAAAAAAAAAAAAAAAAAAAAAGTCATGATTGACCAGAGAAAATCCTCCCCTTGACACATTCACTAAAATAAGAAATATAAAATAGCCAACCTTTATATCCAATAGAAATTTTAGCAGTCTGAGCATGGATATATGCATCAAAAATAGTATTTCTCATAGCAGTATCATTTAATACCATATATTTTATATAAACTATCAGGGTATATGCAGACCTCAATAGGTTCTATGGTTGCCATTTAATATAATCTCTTGAATAATATTATAGTAATCTTAGTATTATATTTAAGTATTTATTCATCCAACAAACATTTGAACACTTGCTCTGAGCTAGGGGCTTTTCTCAATATAAGAATACAGACATGGCCCCTGCCACAAGAACCTTGCATTGTCATAGGCAGACAAGTATGAAGACCATTTTTATCACAAGGACCCTAGTGGAAACCTGTACAGGGTAGAGAGTAAGCAAGGGAAACAAGTAATTGGGCAGAAAGACAATAGAATGAAGCATTTCTAGACAGGATTTGAATAACATGTGAGTACTTGAACTGAATCATATAAATCATTATGATTGTACCACAGCAACTTTCGAGGTCAAACCACAGAAATGACCCCAAGAGGGAACTTCGGGTCAGACAACAGAAATGAGCCCAAGATCTTGGAGGACTTTCATCCCATGCTAAGGCTTTTAGAGCTTTTCATGATGATTCACTGAAGGATTATAATCCTTAGGAGTAGCATTATTAGTTTTATATTTTAGCAATCCCCTCTGCTTGAGATTTTGGGAAAATGTATTGACAGAGGGAAATTAGGAGCCTAAAGACCAATTAGGAGATTATTGCATTAGTGAAGATAGGAGATGAGAGGACTGGCGTAGTGCAGCAGCAGTGGTGGTGAAGAGAGGAAGAGGACATATTAGAAATATATTAAGGATATTAAACACACAGGTCTTGATGATGAGTTGGATGTTGGAAGTGATGAAAAGGCCTGGGGTACAAATTCGGTGTTGCTGCTGTAATGATCAGGTAGACGATCTTTATTTTTGCTCCAAGGATGGAAATACAAGAAGTCAGTTTATTTAATAGGACAATGTATCACATGCTTATCAAATATATCAAAAAGGAGACTTCTTGCTAGGAAAACATTTGAGTCAATCGACACTCTTAGAAGCATGTAACATTTAATACCAACATTGAGTGTGATTCTCCTTATCTGCTGCTTCATTTTAACACTCTAAGTATGACTTCATCACAACACATCTAATCTCCAAATGTGTAACAGAGTAGCATTTGAAATGATGAGGTAGAGTGGTCATTTGTAAATGTAATAATTTATTACGTGAACATGTGTTTTGGTCCTGGTATGGTTAAAAATAATGACAATTCTTAACAGTACCCATCAAGATGGAGAACCTAAGTTTCTTTATACAGTATTTTTAAATAATAGTCTGTATAAATTAAGGTTTAGGCATATAATCTAAAGATACAGTGATTTAAAACCTTTCAGCTTTCAGTAAAGGTTATATTATAAGCACATTGAAAATTTTCAGTATTCATCTTTTCATGCATTGAATGTAACAGTTTTGTACAACTGCTTGACTTCTTCATATTCTGAGTTTTTTTCAAAATTCTAATTCTGAAAATATATCTAAGATATGATACAATATATTTTTCATTTGCAAGATTCTTTTGTTACCGAAACCAACCATACATTTCTATGTTTTAAAAGATGCTTATGTGCTGATATTAGGTTTGATGGATGGTTGAACAGATAGATAGACAGATAATAGTTTATGGGAACCTAAATAGAAGGATGACAGTTTTATAAATGATAGAGGTTAATGTGGAGCTTTGGTGTCAAATCCTGGTTTTATTGCCTAATGAATGAATGATCCTAGGCAAGGGTCCTAAGCTGTGCCTCAGTTTCCTTATTTATAAGATTTAAAAAAATATTTCCTACTTTACAGAGTTTATGTGATGTTTAAATAAGAGAATGAATGTACAGAAACTTGCCCAGTGCTTGGCACTGCAAAAATGCTAGGTGGGAGGAGTTCTTAAGTAGAGATCCAATAAATTCAGATTTCAGCATATTTTTAAATTTACCTCCCACAATGATTTAGATGGTTTGAATGAGAATATTTTATCCTTAAAGTTTAGTATCCTTATTTAAATGGAATTTGGTGAAAGTAACTGAATTACGTGATCTATAGTACCTTCTAGCTCTATGATTAAATCTCCAGGAATAAATAAAGTTCCTTCAATGTGTGAATAAAAACATCATCAAGATAACATTAATCTCCTAAATAAGTCATTTATCATTAAATATGATTATCATTCCCACTTTAATAGGGAATCTTTTATCATATAGATAAGCTAGAAAAAGACTAATCATAAAAAAATACTAAATCATATCAGAGATGGAAAAAATCAGTGCTGTATTTCCTTCTGTATTTAGAATTATTTCTATGCCGCTTTTCATGTGTCTATAGTTGTCTATCCTCTGACAAATTTCAGAATCACATAAAGTAATATATCTAGGGTATCTTCATATATTAATCCATGCCACTATTGTAAACATCATATACTTTGCCCAAGTTTTAAAACATTATTTAGGCTATTGGAGTATCTTTGCTCCAAAGAAGATAATGTGGAAAATTGACAGTATTTTATAAGACAGTATTATTTGAGTTGCTAGTAATTAGATTTAGTAACTATAAGCATATACAACTATTAGGATCCATAAAAGTGAATGAGATTACTGAGAGACTTTTCTCCATCTTCCACTTCTGCTATTTTAGTCAAAGCCACCTTATTCTTTACCTTGTCTATTTCAGTAAAGAACTGAGCACTAACCTTCTCTGCTTCCACCTCTGGCCACCTACTCTGTTTTCCACACAGCAGCCAGAGAGATCATATCGTGTCACTCCTCTACTTATAAAAATAATAAAGCTTCCCACTGCACCCAGTAAAACTCACACTCCCCACTCTGTCCTAGGATCTGGACCCCATCATAAACCACTTCACTCCAGCTACCCTGGCCTTTCCATCTTCCTAGAATGATGCCAGCTTATTCCTCCCCATAACCTTTGTGCTAGCTCTGTTCTCTACCTGGAAACCTTTCCTTTAACTCTTCCATGGAAGGCTTTTCTGTCACTTAGATTCAACTAAAACACCATCTCTTCAGAAATGCCTTTCCTGACCACAGAGAATATTTTAAAGAAGAACGTTTTCACGTTGATAACAAAATTGTACTTTTTTACCCCAAATGCAAGTGGGCTTAGGATATGTCTGTACATTTGAGAAATATTTACAATCAATAGCACTGTCATCCAAAAAAGAAAAGTCACAAATTGTATTGACTGTTCCTTAGCATTACTTGGTATTTTCCTATGGATTCTGTTTTCTTACATGGTGCACTTAGGCACGTACTGACCTATGTTTAATGAAATTGTATTCTGTCCTCCTGAAGGAGGTGGGTGCACCTTGCCTAGCAGTCTGTCCCAGTAGCATGAATTCTAAAGCTTATATGACTAACTGCTCTAGGTGAGATGTTCCATACAATAGTTCATTAAAGGCAAATGGAAAATTTAAAAATGCAGGTGGTATACTATTTTTAAATACAGATGTGCAAAATCGAATGGCTAAAAAGAAAATTCACAAACGACTAAAACATTCAAGAATCAGAGTAGCCCAGGCACAGTGGCTCACACCTGTAATCCTAGCACTCTGGGAGGCTGAGATGGGAGTATTGCTTGAGCTCAGGAATTTGAGTCCAGCCTGAACAAGAGTGAGACCCCATCTCTACTAAAAGTAAAAACAATTAGCCAGGCATCATAGCACATGCCTGTAGTCCCAGCTACCCAGGAGGCTGAGGCAAGAGAATTGCTTGAGCCTAGGAGTTTGAGGCTGCAGTGAGCTATGATGACACTGTACTCTAGCCCAGGCAACAGAGCAAGACTCTGTCTCAAAAAAAAAAAGAAAAAAAAAAAATCAAAGTAGATATTCCCAAGGCCACAGTCACCCTCATAGTAAATTAAACAAGTGTAGCTCTTAGAAGTAATCAAGGTTATCTCTTAGAATTGAACAGGTTTAGCTCGTCTGTGGTACACAGCATAGCACAGAGATTGTAGCTCTCTGCTTAATTGCTGCATTTACATGTGCCAGGACCTTCAGTGAAGCTGGCAGCTCCTTTGAGTTTCTAGCCAGTGGTCATGTGCCTATATGTTAAACTTCTTAGAAAATATACCACCTGCCAGGAACATTTTATAGAAATATAATCTATTTGTGTTTAGACAGCCATATATAGAAGGCTAGTGATGCTTTTTGATCAATTTCCATGATATGATATTCAGTATGGGGAGCAAGATCCATTATCATCCATATTCCAATCAGTCTTCTGTGTCAGACTCTTTCAGGAAAGTTTTCCACCCTTATTTTCCAAATGTCTAATATTGTCCCTCTGACAAATACTGTTTCTGCTTGGCTATTTCAGCACTTTTGTGTAATGGAAAATTTCACAAACACTTGCAAGAAATCTTTGTGCCCTTGGTTGTCCGCTACGTCGATCTCATGGAGTCTTCCATCGCCCAGTCAATTCACAGAGGTTTTGAGCAAGAGACATGGCAACCTGTCAAGTAGGTATCTTACCTAGTGTCCACAGAGCATCTGCCTCTTCAGTCCTGACCTTATGACTTTCCACATGGCCATCTATAGTTATTGCTTATGGTGGTCCCTTCCCACGTTGTTTGTTTCTTTACAGGAATATCGCCAACAGTCTTCCCAATGTAGCTCTTCCAAAAGTTCCAAGTCTGCCTCTTAATCTTCCACAGATTCCTAACATTTCTACTCCTTCGTGGATGGCTTCTTTATATGAGTCCACGTGTGTATTCCTCACTTATTTCCTGGTGGTGTGTTAGCTAGTGCATGGCCTTGGCTGTGTTCTGTGCAGATGTGTTTAGATTGCATGGCATTTATTCATGTTGGTTGAGGAATACTGCTTTTGGTTGATCTGTGTGAGTGTTTTAAGCCAGTAAGCTAAGCTTAGCATATCGATGATAAATGATGTAGCTTAAAAAGAAATGAACACACTGGTTTGATGTAGCTCATGTGTAATCTATGTGTCAGGAGTCATTTTATGACCCAAGTTGTAGACTTTACTAAGTGATATAACCAGAGTTCTCCTTACGTAGACAATCAGAGCACTAAACAGTATTTCAAGGATTCTTAGTTGGCTCTAGCCTTATTGCCACCCACATGTACATCTTGTACATGGAGGAAACCATTGTAAGGATGGTTTCAAGAATATAATCTTTTCTCTTTTATATCTTCAACTTTAAAGAAACAGGATTGCACCTTTCAGGAAAGGGATTATCCTTTATTTGCCAACACTAGGAAGTTCTTCTTTTGTTCTTTGCATATATCAGTTGGTACACCTTGTTATTTTAAAATAATCCTTTACTTTGTTAAAAACCACATTTATGAACTTCACATTGTAACAAACCTCCATATGGCAGATTCAGTAACTAAAAGTTATTAAAGTGAAAAGTTGTGGACTTTGAAATTGATCAGGTCTGAATTTAGAACTTAGCTTACTAATTGTCTTTATTAGCCTCAGTTTCCTCAACTCTAAAATGGTATGACAGCTAATTTAGAGACATTTTTGTGAGGATTAAAAAACACTTATAGAACTTGGCATATCCTAGGCTTTCACGACATGATAATTACTACTATTCTACATTATTATTGTTTTTATTATTACTTTCATCAGTCATCATCATTATTATTCAGAACTTCTCTGCTTCCAGAGAACATGGTGGTTAAGACTTGCTACTTTCCACCTATGACCAGCTCCAGGTGTCAAATCTATACCCAGTCAAATATGCATACAATCAAGAAGAAAAAGGAAGAAGGGGCGAGGTGGCTCACGCCTGTAATCCTAGCATTCTGGGAGGCCCAGGCGGGCAGATCGTTTGAGCTCAGGAGTTCAAGACCAGCCTGAGCAAGAGAGAGAGCCCATCTCTACTAAAAAAAAAAAAAAAAAAAAAATAGAAAGAAATTAGCTGGACAACTAAAAATTATAGAAATTAGCCGGGCATGGTGGTGCATGCCTGTAGTCCTAGCTACTCAGGAGGCTGAGGCAGAAGGATTGCTTGAGCCCAGGAGTTTGAGGTTGCTGTGAGCTAGGCTGACAGCACAGCACTATAGCCCAGGCAACAGAGTAAGACTCTGTCTCAAAAAAATAAAAATAAATAAAAAATAAAAGAGAAATGAAGGACCAAGAAAGAGAATAGTTACTTGTAAAATAATTTGGTAATATTTCTCCAAGTTAAATGTCATCACTGTATTCATAACACTTACCAAGATATTATGTTACATGTGAGTCTTTTGCTTACAGGCAAATGCTTTGGGCCATTACAGTGTGTAGAGTGGTGTCTGTGTGCTCAGCAATTACCTAGGAGGTATAATGAACCTTTTCTAAGCGTATCATTTTTTTGTACTTCTTTATATTGTTTTCCAATTTAACTTCTCTTCTTCCTCATTTCTCATCTCAACAGCCTTGATTTTAACCAAGAACACTATCATGAACATTATCCTTAAAATTTAGTCTTCTTATTATTACTATTTTATTAGCTCTGAGATTTGTATGAACCCTAAATCCTTTATTATTGAGAATCCTTTTGTTATTTTATTTTTGAGACAGAGTCTCACTCTGTCACCCTGGTTGAAGTGCAGTGGTGTCATCATAGCTCACAGCAACTTCAAACTCATGGGCTCATGCGATCCTCCTGCCTCAGCCCCCAAGTAGCTGGCACTGCAGGTGCGCACCACCATGGCAAGCTAATTTTTAAATTTTGTGTAGAGGTGGGATCTTGCTGTGTTGCTCAGGCTGATATTGACCTCCTGGCCTAAAGCTGTCTTCCCACCTCAACTTCCCGAAGTGCTGGGAAGTGTTGGGATTACAGGCATGAGTCACCACACCCAGCCAACGACCTCTTTTTAAAATCATCTGAGTCTCAGGAGAGGAATCATGACAAATTGGGATTTTGTAAATAGTGATTGTAATTTCACCATTCTGGGCAAATTTTAAAAAAATGTGTCTTTTACAAATTGATCATTATTATCTTTACCTGCCAAGGTTATCAACATTAGGTCCTTTGTCAGAGTGCTTGTAATGTTATGATGTTACTACAGTTTGTTTTTTTGAAGAGTGAAGCATTAAAGAACAAGAAACATTTCTATTTAACCTAAAGATTGAAAGTACAACTACTGATTATGTGAGAATATAAAAGTAATCATGGGTTTGAAGATATATCCCTACCTAACACATAATTCAGGTTAAGAGGTATATATAAAATCTGTATATGAAATCTTCATTCTGGGTTTTTTAGCTCTCGAAATGAATGCTATTTGGAAAGTTTCGTGCTGGCATTTTAAGGAAATTATCTCAGAGTCCATTATTCACACTAGAGTTTTTTAATCTGTTAATGATACCTTTAGGAATAGGTCACTGATTAGAAATAATTTTAAAATGAAAAAGCTCTGAATAAATTGTAGGTTATATACACCAACTCCAGAGAAAGCCTATTTACGTTTTTTAATCTATCTAGTTAATTATAACAAACACTTGTTATCTTAATTACATTCCCAATTTAACACATTTATTGTCTAGCATCTTAGCATAGAATCTTACCATAGCATCAAACAAAAGAAAAATATATCTATATTCTCTATAAAGATTTAATTGTCACATAGTATGAGAAAGTCAATTTTTAATAGAATTCTGCCTTTATTATTTGAGACTTTGTTTTGACAGTTTTATTGTCACTGTGTTATTAAAGAATGCATACATTTCAAATGGTTACATTTCTCCAAAGTACAAAGATTATCAGAAGCAGATTTGCTTCTTTGTCAATTGTATTCGATTACTCTTAAAACACAGGTCCTCTAATCTACCAAACTGTACACTGTGCATTTGTAAGGAGATTTTGCTTGATCATGTTTTTTCTTTCATTTTTATTATACATATGTCAAAAGGAGAAGAAAAGGAAGTGTTTTTCAAACATTCACAATAGCATCAGCATGGTGTTGTCTGGTTCTTTTATTTATTGCATTATATTTAATACATTTAGGGCACTGAATATTAAGGTGAGCAGATAGTAAGTGAGTAAATAAATGGGAAGTGTTCACTGCTTTGCTGTGACTGGTCCCTTGAGAACTTAACTCTGAGGGCCTCTTGGCTAGACAAGGAAATCAGGAGGAATTATTGGCAGAATGGAAGAAGGAAAGCAGTGTAGGTTGGTGATAGAGCTGAGATGCTGAGGCCAGAGTGAGGGGAGGAAATAAGCTTTTAATTAGCCAGAGCAAGAGGTGATTTTTTAAAAAGCTAGCTAATTAAGGTATATTTAGCGAAAAAATGTAGTTGTTTAAAACTAGTTTATTTTTGATAAAACTTCTCCATTAAGCCCTTATGATAAAGGAGTTTAATTTAATTTTCTTTTGCAAACTAAAAGTATATATTTTAGGTTCGTACATGTGAAGCAGTTGTTGGAAAGCAGAGGACAAAGGAGTCATACGGCAGCTGGGGTTTTTTTTTTGTTTGTTTGCTTTTTCTTTTGTGCTCCATTACAGTTAAGTTTCTGTATGTTTTAAGGTAGGAATATTTTACTTTCAAAACATCTGCTTCCATACAATGGAAAAGCAATAGCATTATCTTTTGCCCAAATATATACTCTTCTGTAAATTACCTTCATACATAAGGTGATAGAGCAGCCACCTAGAGAAATTTTACCATAGTAGTGAATGCATAGGAAATCTTGGCTCCACAGTGAGGCATAAGGACCTGACATACATGATTTTGTTCCAACTTCAGAGCACTCTGAATGTCATTTTTCTGCTAGACCATACCTTGTGCTAAGTTCGGTTTTAATTATGAGCTAGAAAAGACACAAAGCATTTCAAAATAAAGATTTGCTTCTATACCTATGCGTGTTTTATTTTCAGTAACTGTATCACCTTTACCTGTAATTGAGAGATTTAGGGGCTCTATATGCTACACATCTGTAGATAGACAGAGCCGTCATGGTGACAGAGGCACATATGCATGAATAGAACAGTCACTGTCATATGGATTTTCTTACATAAAACATACTTTTTGAAATTTCTAAGAGAAAATATGTGTATATTTATCTTTATCCTAAAGATGGATAAAGAACTTTTAAAATGTTTGTTCTTATGCACACAATTTATTTCCATAGGAGAATATCCTTATCTATTTTATCCCCTTTTATGAAACCTTACTACTATATTTATTTCTATGTTGTTCACCTCGCCTTGCCTTATTAAGAAGTGAAAAGGAAGAATTGAAGGCTGAACAAAGATTGGATCATTAGAGATTTTAGGTGGTATTTTTTTCACTAATGGCAGTTGATACAGAAAGGGAAAAGCAATGTTGGCAGTCCACATAATTAAATGTGGGAGTTCATGATGTTCTTCATTTTTCCTTTTTCTTCTAGCAATGGCTCAGCAACATCAGAAGACCTTTTTTGGAAACTTGATGCACTGCAAATGTTTGTCTTTGATCTACACTGGCCAGAACAAGAATTTGCCCACCACTTAGAGCAAAGACTTAAACTAATGGCCAGTGATATGATAGAGGCCTGTGTCAAAAGGTAGACATGTGTTTTCAAGTTGCTGCTTAGTATGCCAGCACCGAATATACTACTTTTCCCCATGTACCTATTATGTTACTGTCACAGGAAAGGTTTCAATATGCACTATTATTCCAAAATTTAATGGGCATTAATTAGATTTTGTGGCCAAAAATCCAGGGGCCCATATATATGATTGATGAAATTGGCCTGATACCTTTTTTCAGGTTTCCCAACCATTGCCCTAATCAGTAGCACCTATATGATATTAATGATTGCTTTTGTGCTTATTGTTATCTCTCTGGGAATACTGTGCTTTAAATTCCCAAGGTAATATTTCCTGAGACATATGGAAAAGGTCTGTTAAGTTCTTTATGTGTTATGTCTGTGTGCTGTGTCAAAATATGATTAGCACCATCAGTTCTGTGATTATTCACTGCTATTTTCTATCCATGTCAGATGAGTTCCAAGTACTATTGACATTCTTTAGAACTTACCCAGAAATAACTTGTGAGATTTTAGATTCTTCCAGATGTGCTTTCATTATTTCTAATAGTTTTACAAAATCAGCATTGCATCCTAATTGGTCAAGCGTTTTTTCCGTTGCCCAAGTTCATAATATATACAAGAACAATGTCAGTTAGGCATGATTTTGGAAAAATAGTCAAACACTGGTTGGAGCAATTGAATAACCCTGAAATTTTTAAACCAAGAAAAATTCTGTTTTTAGAATAATGTTCAGTGGCCCCTAAGGCCATTAATTAGATTATTTAATATATTTTTTAAAAAATCTTCTGCAATTCTGATGTATCAAATCTGCAGGTATTCATCAGATACTTTAGCAAAACCAATTCCAAATAGGCCATTATGTAGTTTCTTACAAAACTACACAATGCAGTTAGAGGCATTTGAAAGAGAATGTAAGTGACATAAAAGAATTACACATTCTCTGTTTTTCATTGACTGTAATGTTTTAGAGTTTTCTAGACTTTTGCTTTTCTTTTTAGTTTGGTAAGCCCTCACATAGAGGATTCATTCTGCTTTAATGCAGAGAAGCATGTAATTTTTTTTTTTTTACTTAGAAATTAATTCAGGCAGTTAAGTGAAGCTGTGAGATATTTCCATTAAACGTGATACACTCGATATAACAAAAAGCTTCATTTGGGTAGCAGTATTGTCTGAGTGACTACATAAAGCTAGGTTTTCTATAAAATATCTCAGTCTAATTTTTTATTTGAGACTTCTGAAAAGAAGAGCATTCTACCCTCTGGCTCCCAAGCACTGTCACACTGCTTACTCCCTATTTGCATGTTTTAAATTAGCTTCGGGTAGTGTTGATTTCATTTTTACAAAACAGGTGAGATGGTTGTCAGAATTTCTTACTCTGAATTCATGTTTTAATAACTAGAACAAGAACTGCATTTGAACTCAAGCTGCAAAAGGCAAGCAAAACAACTGACTTGCGCATTCCAGCTTCCGTGTGTACAATGTTTAATGTATTAGTCGATGCCAAAAAGCAAAGCACTAAACTCTGCGCCCTGGACGGAGGACAAGAGGTAAGTACAGTGTATGCCACATAGGGAAATGCAGCGCAGGGTGTCCTGGCAAGGGGAAATGCTGTTTCCAGAAGGCACTCCCTTCATTGGATTAAAAAAGACCAAGTTCTCTACCACCAAATGTTTGATCTTTTCTTTGCTGTAATAATAGAATGCCTTCTATCACTTGTTCTTGTCAGTTTCTCATATTTTATATAAATACTGCCTAAAATTTTACAATGGCCATTGACTTTTAGATATACCTTTTAACAGCTTAGGTGTTGAGTATTTACATAAACCTTGCTTTTTACAAACAAATGAGAAAGCTAGAAAGCTACCTTCTTTGCTTATACAAATCTAGAGTATCCAGAGTTTGCATCCATAAAAGCAAGGCATACACAAAAAAATAGCATATGAAATACTTTATACAAAAGTTTCCATTTTTTAAAGATCAAGTAAAAACATACTTAAAATCTAGCTCTAGTTCTTGTCAATAAATAACCCACTCTTTCATTTTGATTTATAATTGTTTGATTTTATTTTCAGAAATATAGTTTCATTTTACTCCATGATTTATTTTTGTTGAGAGTGATGATTGGGTAAAAACGGATTTATTTTTCTTAGCTTATCTGTTTTAAGTTAACATTTTATTGCCTTTTTTCCATTGTAATGACTTCTTCATCATTTCTTTGTTCTTTTTATATGTTCACTTTCATCATCTTTTTTCCCAACCCATGGCATGATCCAGTTTGGTATTCAGTGGGTAAGTCTCATTTTTTTTTTTTTTTTTGTAAAAGCACATTTTTCATTTGAGTTATTATTTTTGTAAATGTTTATTTTTTATTTTCATCTTTTCAAATTAAACTAATATAATTAACTCGATTTTCAGATATTTGGCTTCTGTGTGTGTACATATAAGGCTAGCAGCTTACTGTAACATAGCAATAGCCCAGAGACTCAGTAAAACACTGTAAATACCACATACCTTAAAGAATGTCAAGGTTACCCTTGTTTCTTCCATGTTAGGCTGCAGAATCTACAAACTACTCTTTAATTTTTAAACATAAAATTATTTAAAACCAAATGTATTCACCTTCCTTTAAGTTGAAATCAAAATAAATTTAGAAGCAGAGCGATTAACATTTTCAAGCATATGTCTATAGTATACTTCCATTAATCCCAGAGAAGTTTAGAATTTGGGGCTTTAGATGACATATAGGAAAACCCCTAAATCTTTGGACCAGGAGGTCACACCCAAGGTCTCCTCACACAGATGAATCCAATAGTGGACTTCAGTGAGGTCCAAGCCCACCCATGATACAGTCTTTCCTCCCACTCCTAGCCTAGGTTGTAACCAATATCAGAGGTGAGGAAGAGGCAGGCCTGTATCATGAGACTTTTGCACTCCCCCACAAAATGTTGTCCTAAAGTACCACCCCAGAATCTCTAAGGCACATGATTTGAAAATTTTCATCATACAGGACTGATTAGATTATACTTTTCTTTTTGTAAATCAAAATATTTTTGTGTTGTATGGATAGGTTAAATCTTACAAGTCTTACAGTTGACAACTAGGAGTCAGACTCAGCATGACTCATATGAACTAACAATCCTCGTCTAAGCAGAAGGACTTAGCTAACTGTGAAATAGCTGAGAAGGCAAGCTACTTGTGAATTTCATACCTGTTTAACCCATACATAGACACTAACTATTTGACCATAATTTATATTTATGTATGTATACACATTTTATTCTTTGAGCATTTTAGGAGGAAAACATGTATTTCTAATATCACAGCATACAAATACATTAAGTAACTTACAAATATATTAAGTAACTGTTATGTAAGTGTTATATTATGTTCAGTAATTATCATTTTCTGATCATTTACAACATGATTTATTATCTCTAATTATCTAATGAGTGGGCAGCTGGCTTAGAAACCAATGGCTCCTGTCTACCTCCTCATGTTTTTTAACACCCAGATGTAAGCCTTTGATTGTCTGCCTGAGAATATTATCCTAAGTCTCTTCATAAATCCATTCTTTTCTCATTTGGTGTATAGAATCATCTTGCCTCTCTTCCCATTAATACCGAGTTTGTCTATTTGTTCTTATTTTGACATGCACTGCAGTACCTGACACATAATAGGCTTTGAGTAAATATTGGCTGAGTAAATGAACAGACTGATTTGTTGTCACTGCTTTAAAAATCCTCCTCTGTAAGAAACAGCTTACTCTAGTACTTAAAAAAGAAAAACAGGCACACGCACACAGGACAAAATGACAAACATTGTTGCATTGTCAAATGATTCTTTACATTAATAGGTGGATGATTTTAAAGAGTAATCTGCTACTGTTCATTATGTCTGCACCTGTACCTTCTCACTAGCGACAATTAGCTCCCCACAACTTTCACACAATTAATAATAGTTCAAAATGTGCAGGTGTAAAACCCATTAGCAGTACTGAAAAGTGGTAAACAAGAATCTCAATGCAAAAGAAGGATTTTGTACTTTGCTTTTTCTCTCCAGTAAATATACCACATAATTGCACAGGCTTTCCCTCTCTATATGTGCTAAGAAAAGTTTGGAATTGTTGCAAATTAGTACATACATTTATGCATAGGTGAGCCAATGGACCCCATTTTATAGAAAGCAGCAAATAAAGTCATTGAAAAAACTAGATTATTAGACAATTTGGAAGCATGTAAAAATATATACTACAGATTGTTACAAATACTACATGTACTCCCTATTAAATTAGAACTTATCAATCAACACTGATGTACACATACGGTAGTAAAACTCAACAGAAATCAAGTAGGTCAGGGAAGGAAGGGATGGGTAAATTCATACCTAACAGATATAACTGAATGGTACACTATCTGGGTGATGAACACACTTATAACTTTGACTCGAACTGTACAAAAGCAATTCATATAACTATAACATATAACTATAGCATTTGTACCTCTCATAATATTCAGAAATTTTTAAAAATGTAAAATACATATGTATATACTACACAGTTAAACGCAGCAGAGATTTTTTTAATAACTTTTTTTATAATTTCCTAAATTATAAGGAAATTACCTCTCTAAAATCTCTACTACATTTTTTCTGTTGTCGTCACTGGGATGGATCTTTCCCAATGCCTTACCCACAATGAAGTCCCTTCTATGCTTCTAAATTATGATTCTGTTTTCGTACATGCCTCACAATGATGCAAACATGTTCTGCTGAGGCCCAGAATAGGGTTTAATGGAGTGATTAGTGAGCGAATGATCTGCTCAGGTGACAGCTGTGTGTAATGAGTCAGCAATCTCCGGCCAGTCCCTTAGGGACAGATGTTGAGATCACGAAACCACCACAGTGGTTAGAATCCTCGTTATCCATAACTGCACAAAAGCAGATGACTGCATGGGCTGTGAGCGTTTATCTGCCCTCAGAGCCATTTCATCCCATGCTCCCTTCAGTTGAGGATGAGGATGAAAACACATTAATGGGGCAACTCAGGGAAGCAGGGGCCCCTTTTGTGCAGGATTTGTTCTCAGTTAAAGTAAAATGCTTCCATTTCTAGAACTAACAATCCAGTGCCTTTAAAATTCATCCCAAGAAAACGTTCAAAATCTTTTAAGAAAGCTGGTTTGCTCGACATTTGGTTAGTGTTCATTTCTTGTGTGTTTGCATGAAAATGGTCAGGTGAAATGATGCTATTCACCTGAGTGTACAGATGCCAGGATTTCAGACTGTGTCTGGTCTCTGTTTTCCCTGAGCTCCATGAGGTAAGTAAGGATTCCTGAATGGTTCTCTTAATGTGAGTTCAGAGTCATCTGCTGGAGAAGCAGGGCACAGTTTACATTTGAGTACAGATGTGGGGAAACTTACCTTAAGAATGAGCTAGAGTTTACCAGAGCCCTAGTATGTAAAATTATCACCCCAACTTGAAATATTCTGATTAGGAATTTTATAGACATTTATTGTTGGAAACAAAAACTTTCCAAAATTTTTTTTTCAAAAATATTGTCTGTTATTCTAAATGATAAAAAACAAATATCCATTTTAGCTTAAATAATATAAATATCTATGCAGATAAATTATGTTTTTACTTGTTTGTGACCTCTTTTGGGGGTATTTGTGTTTGTCTTTGAAAGCTATCCAGGTCTCCTGATGAGTAACTTTTTCTAGCTAACTTTCTATTACCTATAGGTAGGTTATTATCTTTGCAGAATGTCTATGTAAAACAGGAATGATCAGGCCATCTCCCTACTCCCACTCGTGTTCCTAGACGACCTACAGCAATTGTGCAGCCAATGCAGATTCTGAAAGTTCCCAGCAGTTTTAAAATGGATATAAGTCAGATCTCATTGGGTAAATTTATAATAGCAGCATCCCATATTATAAAAACCTAACAAACCTCATACGGTCTCGGTTTGTCCCCTAGGTAATACATTTAAGATATATATTTCTTCCTTCCTTCCTTTTTAACTCTGTGTGTGTGTGTGTGTGTGTGTGTGTGTGTGTGTGTGTGTGTGTGTGTGCTTATTCATTCTTCTGTCTCCCTCCCTTCGCCTCCCCCTACATTTCTCTTCTTCTTGGTTTATGGCTAGATCAGGTATCAAGGAAAGCAACAATGTAAAGGTATGTATTATAGGAGAATTTCATGGCTCTTAGGGTTCATTGACTTCCCTGCTTTTTAATAAAATGGGTATAAACAACTTCTTTAGTGGAGTATCACTTGATTTTAAGAATTGTCAGAATAGCTGGACACAGTGACTCACGCCTATAATCCTAGCACTTTGGGATGCCAATGCAGGAGGATCACTTGAGGTCAGGAGTTGGAGACCAGACTGAGCAAGAGAAAAATCCTATCTCTACAAAATGATAGAAAAAAATTAGCCAGATATGGTAGCATGTACTTCTAGTCCAAGCTACAGAGAGGCCAAGGCAAAAGGATTGCTAGAGCCCAGGAGTTTGAGGTTGCAGTGAGCTATGATGATACCACCACACTCTAGCCAGGGTGACAGTGAAACCCTGTCTCAAAAATAAAAGAAAAAAAAGAAAAAAAAGAATTGCCAGAATCAATCTAATCCAAAAGTTTAACATTTAGAAGCTCTATTATTTTATATCCAATAGCTTTCTGATGACATTTGATTACTTAGGGTTAGAAATGGAATTTATGACAGAGGTAAACATTGAGGATAAGACACATTAAAGAACCTCGTTAGAGGTGTGGGTGCCTCAACCCCTGTATGTTTTAGAGCACTTCCCATGTAAAAGGGAAATGAGAAGCTTGAAGCCCATATTCTGGATCCCTTTGCTGTTTTACTCTAAAGAGGAGCCTCAGTCTGGCATTTAATTTCCTCTTACTACACAGACTCAGGTCTGGAGTGAGAAGGACATGAAAGGAGAGTGCCCGCCCGGGAGCCAGGCAGAGCTCATTTGCATAAGCTCCTCCACTCCCCATCAGCTGTACAGCTTGCAGCCAGAGCTGGGAGGCCTTTTTTGTAAGCGTGTCTGTGGAGGGATTACCCCCCTGACCAGCCGGTGCGCTGGAATTGTTCTGGGGGCCTCACGTATGTTCACGTGAGGGGCTGCCTGGCTCAGAAAATTATTGATAATTTAGACTGGATCAGAACCTTAATGGCCAGCCAGCTTTTCTGGGTTCTTTTTCTTCTACTTTGTTTTTCTTTATTTTCTTCTTTCTTTTTCCTTCTCTTCAAGCTATTCCAAAAGTAAAAGCATGAACACGACTGCAGTAGAAACCCACCCTCTGTGTTTCCATTCCATTTGTCCTCGGGGGAGCACAAATTCGGGAATCAGTAATGCTTTAAGTGAGACAGACAAGCTTTGGTGGGTGCAATATGTGCCTGGAAAGTTCCATGTTTGTATGCGTGTGGTTAATTTTAGATCACTTGTCATTACGCACTCACACTCACATACTCACAGGAAAATAAAATAATTCAGATGCTCCAAAAAAGTATGCTTTCTTTATTATTTATACAGTTAGATGATGCACAGTAACTGTCAAAGCCCTTGAGGAGGGTAGCAGAGTGTCATTCCAAAGTATTTCAAAGCAGACCTAAGTTGATGTTTTGTTTTGTGTGGAAACTTTGAGACATGTTTTCAGAAAAAAAAAGAAATAGCTTTCAAAAACTTACATCTTAGGAAACCATTCAACCAGCAGCTAAGTTGGTCTAATGTTTATACTGACCTGAGTACTTTTACTCTTTGCATTTTGTTAGCTGTTCCAAGAAGCCTTGAACTATCAAGATAGGGTTAGTCTTTACAAGTCACATTTTCTCTGAAGTGGCTATTGGGGACAATCTGCTGTCAGATAAATGCTTCTAAAGGAAGAATTACTGTTTAAATGGATGTGCCTTCACAAGCCTTGGAAGCCCAGGCTCAGCTTATTTAAGAATGGAACCCTCTAGTATTCTCTAAAGAAAGGGAAAAAAAAAAGTCTTTCAGGTTTATTTTAAATACATCTTTTTTGTATTTACTTAAAGGCGTCTTTTTCATGAGCAAGCGGTAATAAAACTATGGGGAGTGAGTGCTGTTTCATTATACCTTTTATGGCCTATTAATTTGTTACCATCTATTCACCTTTGTTGATGAAATTTTAATTTTGCCCTTGCTTGAGCATATTGTAAGAATTGTATAAACTACTGTTCCCGGCGCTGACAAAAAGGTCCTTTTAGAGTGAACAATTGGGAGCTCATTTTATTTCTAGAGCACATTTAAAATAACTTATGAATGAGAGTTGTCAGACATGAAATGCAGTATTAATTAAATCTTTTTCTAGTCCTTTTGCTTCTCCAGCTAAACCAACCCTTTAGAAAAATACACGGCCACCTTAATTATAGAGGAGAAGACAAAAAGTATCCTTCACATTCCTCCGCCTGAATAAGAATAAGAACTCAATTCATCTAAATAATAACCCCATTAGCTGCTTAACTCAACAGTGCACATGGGAAAATTTTCAAACCACAAAGTAAAAAGTGTTGATTGGGTGGATCATTTTCAAGGTTTTGTTCTTTTAATGTTCAAAATGATCATTTTAAGTAAATTGGATAGGTCGTAACTAGTAGCTTTAGAGCATTTATGACTTATGACAAAAGTTTGTGTCCCTGTCAATTAATGGATCTTTGTCTTTTAATGTCTAGCAACAGTACCATTCAAAAATAGATGATCTGATCGACAACACTGTAAAAGAAATCATTTCGCTACTAGTTTCAAAGGTAATGTATTACTTATTCACATTTTTTAATCAAATTTCAAAATTTTCAATGGAGTATTTTTAGAAATATCTGTCTTATGCTTCTAAATATCGAATTGAGAAATTGTAATTTAAAAGATCACCCATAAAGTTTGATTTTTAAGAAAAGTTGTGAACAAAAAAAGTATGAACACTGTGTCAACAACTTTTGATTTTTTTTTGTTTGCAGTGAATTTTGGCTTGTCTTACAATTGTCCTTTTAAAACTACCTCCTCCAGCTATACCTTATTATGCCACATTCATGTTCTGTTACTATTAGTTTTAACTCCAGGGCAGATTGGAGTTGTCGTCAGTCCTTGAATTTAGCCTGTCTGTCTGTCTGTCGTGGTGACAGCACTGGGGCTCTAGATCTGCTCTTAGATACAGACAGAGAAAGCTGGCAGGGTGGCGTCTGAGGTTCTCCACTCCTAGGAGCCTCCCAGGATTTCCTATTTGATTTATACTTGAAATATCCTTGACAAAAACTGTGATCTTTAATTGTATAAGTAAATATGAAGTAATGGATGATTTAGATTCCCACTAAGATGTAGCAGACAGTCACGGGTGGCATTGGAGATCAGGGGCTAAATAAGGAAATGAAGAGAGAGCCTGAAAGCATCAAGAGCTTAAAAGAGTGAGGAGAGAGACTAGGGGTGCTCTCAGTGCCACTTTCATATGAGCAGATACATCCCTTGCTCTTGCAAGACTTCATCAAAGAACCCCAAATCATGCTTCATAAAACCATTGGAAGAATGTACAAGAAGCAAAGGAAAAACCACCCCCAATTTAATAACTGACAAAGAATATGTTATTTAGGTAAAAAAAAAAAAGCAGAGATCCTCCATTAACATAAGAAAAATTAAGCCTCATTGATACTTTAGGGAATGCAAAGTAACACTATAACAATGTACTATTTTTTCTAGCAAAATTAGCATAAATGTTTTAAGGTAATACCCAGTTTTTAAATTCAAGGTGAGACACATTTCCTATATAGGGGAGTATAAATTATTACAACCTTTCTAGAAGATACTTTGGCAATATATCAAACACCTTAGTACCTTTTCACCTTTTTACATTTTTTCTTACTACTGAGAGAGAGGCACAAAATATATATGCACACGTCAATATTTACCGCATTATGTCTAATCAAAATTTGGAAACAAATCTCTAACATGAGGGAAATGTAAATTATGAGACATCTATCTTAAGCAGCTATGCTTACGAAGACTATTAATGATAAAGTAAAGGTTTCATAATATAGTATTAAGTGAAAAAAGCTGAATATATAAAAGTGTAAAGTAGGATCTGAATTTGCATCATGTAGAAAAAAAGACTTAGAATAAACACCAGAATATTAACAGATCTTTCCTCAGGGTGATGGGATTAAAATTGATTTGGGGTTTTTTTCCTGCAATTTTTTGTGTGTTTTTCCAAATTCTCTGGTAGCAGGTCTTGAGGTGGAAAACAACCAGGAAGAACATCTACATACACATCCCACATTCACCAACAAGTGGAGAGGGAAAAGGATAATGGGAATCCATCTGGCAGGTCAGGAGAGAAGTGGCCCACTGGAGAATCAGGCTCCTTGAGGAAAAACAGCGAGATTTCCATCCTCTGGGGAGCCCAGCACAGGCGCTTACAGAACTACACAGTCAACCCACCAAAGTGAAATAGTTAACTTTGCACCTTCTTCTCTGGGAGTCCTCCAAGGGAATTTTATCCAGATACAATCTCCCCATCAGCACAGTCCTCTTGTGGAAGTTGTCTTTTGTGAGAAGTTTGCATAATGAGAGTCATTCCATTGCTTGCTAGCATATAGATGATATAGGGTCAATTAAGCAGCAAGGAGAAAAGTTCAACTAATTTCAGGGGTTAGGGAAGGGTACAGAGAAGTCAGGCAGGGCTACACATCATCTCTGCATTCATTTCTGACAAAGTAAGAAACTTAAATTTTTCTATGTCAAATGCAGCTGGTTAATTTTAAAAATAGCACATTTGAGTTAAATAAGGAAAAGCTTCTAGAGATCAGTGCTATCCAACAGAAATTTCTATACTGATAAAAATGTTTCTCCTTCACAGTCCAGTGCAGTGGCTACTAGTTACATGTGCTGTGGAGTACTTGAAATGTGGCTAGTGCAACTGAAGAATTAAATTTTTAATTTAATTTAATTTCAATTAAAGAGACCTCACATAACTACTGGTTTTTGTATTTGGAAATCAGGACTAGATTATTGTTTTTCTCTATGGATTATTTCTCCTGCTGTTAAATTGTACTTATTAATTATCTTTAATTCTTTAGTTGAAAAGTAGAAAATAAATTATTAAAATACATTTGATAGGTTGAACCAAACATCTCAAGCTCAAACATCTCAAGAAATGACATTAAATGGTGTTTTTTAATTGATTCAAAATTAATCTCTATAATTGCCATATTATAAAAACCACTTTATTGAGATATTGCACACTAATATATACATATTTAGTGTATACAACTTGATGAGTTTGGAGATAAGCAGACCGCTGTGAAACCATCATCATCATTTATGCCATAAACCTATCCATCACCTCCCAAAATTTCCCTCAGCCCTCTTAACTTTTTTTGCTATGATAACCCTTAAGATCAATCCTCTTAGCAGAGTATTGTTTACTGTAGATACCATGCTGTAGAGCAGATCTAAGATTTATTCATCATGCATAACTGATACTACCCTTGAACAAATATCTTCCCACTTCTACCTCCCACAGCCCCTGGCAACCAATAGTCTACTTTCTGCTTCTATTAGTTTCACTTATTTTAGACTCCTCATATAATTGGAATCATATAGTATTTGTTCTTTTGTATCTGGTTTATTTCACTGAACATAATGTATTCCAAGTTCATCTGTGTTGTTTCAAATGGCAGGATTTTCTTAATTTTTAAGGCTGAATAATATTCCATCATATGCATATACCATATTTTTGTTGTCCACTCATCTGTCAGTAAACATTTAAGTTGCTTCCAAGTCTTGGCTATTAAGAGTAATTCTACAGTGAACATGGGAGTGGAGATATCTCTTCAATATACTTGTTTCAATTTCTTTGGATATATGACCATTAGTGGGATTGCTGGGTCATATGGTGGTTCTATTTTTAACTTTTAAGGATCCTCCATACTATTTTCCATAGTTGCTGTACCAATTTACATTCCCACCAACAGTGTGTATTTTCTCCACATTCTACCAACACTTATCTTTTGTTTTGTTGATAATAGCGATCCAAACAGATGTGATCTAATATATCTCATTATGGTTTTGATTTGCATTTCCCTGAAGATTAGTGATGTTGAGCAAGCACATTTTCATATACCTATTGGCCATTTGTATGTGTTCTTTTGAGGAATGTCTGTTTAAGTCCTTTGCTCATTTTTTTAAGTGGGTTAAGTTTTTATTTTTGTTTCATTTTTGCTATTGAGTTATAGGAGTTCCTTATATATTTTGGGTATTAACTCCTTACCAGATATATAGTTTGTAAATATTTCTTCCCATTCTATAGATAGCTTGTTTATTATGTTGACTGCTTCCTTTGCTGTACAGGAGCCGTTTAGTTTGATGTAATCCCACTTACTTATTTTTTATTTTCTTGCTTGTGCTTTTGGTGTGATAGCCAAGAAATCATTGCCAGATCCTATGTCAAGAAATTTTCCCTATGTTTTCTTCTAGGAGTCTCATGGTTTCAGGTCTTAAGTCTTTAGTCCATTTCTGGTTAATTTTTATGTATGGTGTAAGATAAGGGTCCAATCTTATTCTTCTGTATGTGGATATTCACTTTTCCCAAAATCTATTTATTGACAAGATTTTCCTTTCTCCATTATGTACTCTCTCACCCTTCTCAAAAATCAGTTGAGCCATAGATGTGTGGGTTCATTTCTGGGTTCTCTATTCTGCTCCATTGGTCTATAGGTCTGCTGTTATACCAGTAATATTGTGTTTTGATTACTGTAGCTTTGTAATATATTTTGAAGTCAGGAAATGTGATAGTTCCAGCTTTGTTCTTACTCAGTATTGCTTTGGTTATTCAGGGTTTTTTGTGGTTCCAGATGAATTTGAGGATTACTTTTTCTATTACTATGAAAAATGCCATTGGGATTTTGATAGGGATTACATTGAATGTGTAGATCACTTTGAATAGTATGAACATTTTGACAATATTAAATTCTTCAAAGCCATGAAAATGGATTTCTTTCCCCTTTTTTTTATCATCTGCTTTAATTTCTTTCTTCGGTGTTTTATAGTTTTCAGTGTACAAGTTTTTCACTTCCTTGGTTAAGTTTATTCCTAAGTATTAAATTTTTTTTCATGCTGTTGTAGATGAGATTGTTTTCTTAATTTCCTTTTTTTTGTTTGTTTGTTTTTTGTTGTTGTTGTTGTTTTTTTTTTGAGACAGAGTCTCACTCTGTCCCCAGGGCTAAAGTACAGTTGCATCACCATAGTTTACTGCAACCTCAAACTTCGGGGCTTCAGCGATCCTCCTCCCTCAACCACCCTGGTAGCTGGGACTACAGGCACATCCCACCATGCCGGGCTAATTTTTCTATTTTTTTATAGAGACAGGATCTCACTCTTGATCAGGAAGTTTTGAACTCCTAAGCCCAAGCAATCTCCAGCCTTGGCCTCCCAGAGTGCTAGGATTACAGTTTTGAGCCACTGTGCCCAGACTTCTTAATTTTCTTTTCAAATAGTTCATTGTTAGTGTACAGAAACACAAGTGATTTTTGTAGGTTGATTTCATTTCCTGCAACTTTACTGAACTTTTTTATTAAGGGTTTTGGTTTGAGTTTTTAGGACTTTCTACATATTAAGATCATCTTCTCTGCAAACAGAGATAATTTTAATTCTTCCGTCCTGATTTGGATGCCTTTTATTTCTTTTGCTTGCCTAATTGCTCTGGCTAGGAGTTCCAGTACTATGTTTAGTAAAAATGGCAAGATTGAGCACTCTTGCCTTA